GATAGAAATGTTCAGCACGTGGCAGAGCCTCCACCATCTTTTTGACAGTGATGGCGAACCCATAAAGTGAGGACCATTTGGGTAGCAACACCTAGTGAGAAACTATTCGGACTCTTCCTATCAAAATATAAAGTCAGAGGTAAGACAGCCTTTTCAGAGGAAATTGCAGAGATTAAGGCACTGACCAAAGATTTGTGAGATGCTGGCCAATGATTCTTCTTATCTCCATTTAATTCCTCAGTAGGGTCAGTGCAAAAACTGGTGCTATTTCCAAATGCATTTTCTAATCCTACAGTGGCCTCTTTCCCAGTACAGATGGATACACTTCCTGATCCCTGGTCTGCAGTTCCTGATTTATGGATCATGCATTGCTTTGCTCCTGCTCACCTGGACTATCAGAAACAGTTTGCTATCACTTGGCAGGAGCAGCAGTTCACAAATTCTCTTCCGCAGTGCCAATATCTAGTCATCTATACTCATGGCGACCTTCCCTTCCTTCTAGAACAGTGATGGCGAACCTTTTAAGCTCAGCGTGTCAGCATTTTGAAAAACCCTAACTTAACTCTGGTGCCGTGTCACATATAGAAATTTTTTGATATTTGCAACCATAGTAAAACAAAGACTTATATTTTTGATATTTATTTTATATATTTAAATGCCATTTAACAAAGAAAAATCAACCAAAAAAATGAGTTTATGTGTCACCTCTGACACGTGTGTCATAGGTTCGCCATCACTGTTCTAGGACATGAACCTGACCCAATATATTTACAACCTTAAGATGATCAGTCCTGAAGAACAGCAAGTAGCAGTGTCCTAGTTGTCTTGGAAAGGAATTAAGAATAGGAGATACAGTTTTTAAGAAATCAAATAACCTATGTCCTCTGTTAAATCCCAGGAAGTGGAGTGTGGGCAGGGTTTCCAATGTCAAGGACATGATGGAGTATTCTTCCTAAGTGGAGGGCAAGCAGCTGCATGCATTACTCACATGGAGTCTTTTCAGATTTTGGAATCAGATTTAGGTAGCATCTGGGTGTTCTCTGATCAGTAAACAGGTAACACAGAAACCTCCCCAGAGCAGAGTAGGAAAGGTTTTCTGGCTGGCCCAGTCTGCTTACTGCAGCCCTGCGAGATGGCCTGCCGGCCACATTGACCCAATGTGCATGAAGTGGACTGACACAGTGTGGAACTCTGCTAAGCCTGGAAAGTACTGTTATCACAGGGGAGCCTGGGGGTTTGGAGCTAATTCATGTCACCATCAACAGGTAACTATTCTCTTTGAGCAAGAGGCTAAAGATATACTTATTTAGTATTTAGGATGTTAATTTACATAATGTTATTTAAAAAATTTTAACTCACTTATGTAGCCAGGTAAATAGTGGCTCTCAGCAGAGTGATGGTCTTTCTCTCTTAATAGTAACTACCATTAGAGCTGAGCTCCAGCCACATCACAGGGGACCCTGGGGGTTAGGAGCTAATTCCTGTCACCATCAACAGGTAACTATTCTCTTTGAGCAACAGCTCCTCTGATTATCGAGTTGGGTAATTGTGCACCCGGGGCTGCCTTCCGCGAACTGGGTGCCTTCAGGTCCACAACCCATAAAACCATGCCTACCCTATAAAACACTCCAAGAGGTGATGTGTAAGACAGCCGGCTTTATGGGCCACAAGGATAAGAGTGTTATTTGAATGGGTTGCTCACTTAGGACACAGAGTATGGACATTTTATATATGTACAGGAAATGCTTAATAAAATCTTGTTGAATGAAGAATGAACAGGTGAACCTATTCCTTAGCAACAAAAGCTTCCTACTATATAGGAGGCAATCGACTATTTTCTGAAGTAAATTTCACCAGACGTTAGGTAGGCTTCATTAATAATATTTATTTTAAAGATCACTTTTTATTGTAACAAATATAAAGTCATCGATGTTTTACAAATTGTCAAAAATGCTTTGAGTACAAAAGAAATACATTAGTAAAATGAAAGCTATATTGAATTATTTGGTATATACTTAATACTGTCAACATGCATACCATATGCCAGAAAAGCTCATGCATTAAGGAAGAGAGAAGAAATAAGCTATAACGGCTATATTGTCTGATTACAAATTCATCGCTTCGGTCAGTTTTCTTTCTTCAGGGATACCATTTACCTGCAATGTGTAAGAGTGGATATGGGCACGTGTTAGTCAGGGCATGGACACTTGTAGATTTTGAGCAAACTATATTATGGCAAGGAGTGATTTTCTATCCTCTTAACATAATTTAAAATAATTTCTCTGCATTTGGTTTAAAAAAATTTAAAGAGGAAAAATTCTAACTTTGTCCTCTCCTTCTTGGGCCAAAGCTATAATGTTCTGTGTTTGCCAAAAGGCACAAGCCTGAAAATTCCTCCCACAATGAACAAAAAGAATGCGGGTTCACTGTGGGGTGTGTGACTGTACCTTTTAATCGTGCCTTTTTAGAAAATATCAGGTGGGTTGGAAAGGCTGAGAAAATGAGAAAAACGGGAAGGGCATCGATCCTAATGTCCTGGGCCTGGTTCAAAAGCAAGGGTTGTTTACTGTCAGCTTCTAACTGCTCTATTATCCTAGCTAGCGCTTAAGTCTAGGATTATGCCACCACAGCTAGTTCATTTCTTCAACGTCCGAGGGTCATTTAAAAGAAAACAACTAAATAAAACAAACTTCAAAATATACTCTCCCCTCACAAATTCCATATAGGCAGTTACAAATAAAATTTCTTGGGATCCAAGAGGCATTCTTTGAGCTTACATTACCTTCACCAAGAAAACTGTATACTGTTATTCACCACTGTTACCCCAATACATTTAATTAAAAAAACAAACAAACAAAAAAAAACAAGAAAAGAAAACTGACACATAACATAGTGCGATGAGGTGCTGGCGAAAAGCAATGATTACTTCCTCATACTCCTGCACAAACCTTGTTGCCTCTCTGTGGTACCATGATCACCAGGAGGAAGGAAGAGAAAAGGGGTTGTACCCATGATAATGCACTAACAGGACCAGACCCATGCACGTGCAGACAGAACAGAACAAACTTAGAAACTGAGTAACAAACTTTTTCATTCAAATGAACAGAATGGGAATAAAGAATATAACCTGCCCACTTAGCCCTTCTCTCCAGGAGACATGACTCTATTTGATTTCACATTTACCAGAGGCAGAAACACAACAATCTATCACAATTATCTTTTTAAAACTGCTAGGGTAGTCTCTCTCTCTCTTAGTATTGACACACTTTAGAGACTCACTGAAAACAAGATGAAGAAAGAAAACTACCATGAGAAAATAGTGCACTTTTGTCAATAAAATGCTTGAAATTACAGAAAAATATAAGCAAACAAGAAGGCAATAGGCTATAGTATTAACTGAAAAAGGGAATCAAAGCTTTCCTGATCCAAGCAAAATGTCTGCTCCCCAAAACCTGCTTTAGAAAAATAATTTACAAAAAATAGATTGAACAACTAAAATCCCCCTAGGGAAATTCTTTGGCTCTTGTCACATTTATTTAGGCACAAATTGTTCTTGTATTTGGAAATGCTGCCTATTACTAAAACGAAACATGCTAACAGGTCTACTTGCTAGAAATCTATATAACTATGCATCTATTTAGGTTTCCTTATTTCCCCCAGTGGGGGAATAAGTAAAATGAATTTAAAAAATACTCAATATTTCTATTTTGCCAGAAATTATCTCCTTTCTATTCATTCCTTGCCTGAAATAATTAAGAATCAGAGTAAAGTCCATGAGGTGAAAGAAAAAGAAGTTTTAGCATTTCCATTGTAGAAATATTCTTTAAAATTTTTCCTCTTTAAAAAAAAAAGCCATGTAATTAGATGTAGTGGAAATTCATTTATTTCTTTGCTCTTTAGATAACCTATTTATAACAAAGTTTGTTCCTTCATCAATCTCCTGAATGCTTACATCGATATATTGAACAGTCTTGTTGAAACATGTTAGCATTTAATTAAAACAAGTAACCAAAATTGTAGCGGGAAATTCTGATAAATGTTATCTCATAATTAGAATCTGATGAACAAACTGCATTATACTTGCCTCAAATCTTTGAAAAGTTGTCAAACGAAAATCTCCTTAAATCCCCGAAAGCAGTAATAGAGAAGATAATTTTTGAATGAAAATATCCAATACATTCCTATATGGGCCTAAAGTTTTCAAGAGACATACTTCATAGCTCCCCTAACCACAATACCACTATGCATACTCAGAATTCCACATCCAACTTACATTTTTAAAACTTCTCTTGGTTTTCCAAAAGAGCTAAAAAGGCATTACTGGTTGCCTGGCAATTAGAACTAGAGATTCAACCACTAATTAGAAGACAATCCTGAATAAGTTACCTACTCAGTACAGGGATGAAAGAAATAATTGGTTGTGGACATTTTTTTAGGGACACTTGAAAGAAATAAAGGTAAAGAAAGCAAGTCTTAGGGACATAGAATAGTCCCAGGAGAAGTGCCCGCCATCTTGTTGTCATGGGTCAGGTTATCACAGCTTTAAAAAGTGGCATCAGAACAGGCCAGCCATTTCTCCTTTATCCCCCTGAAGCCTCAGTGATTAGTCACGATGGTTTCCTTTTGTAAGAGTCAGTTTCAAGCTGCTCACTTACTGAGACAAATCCTGGATGCATCTAAGCTGAGAATCTTACACACCAAGGGGAAGAATAGGGCGCTTTGCTGGAGGAAGGGGGTTTCACTCAGTCTTCCTTAATTAGACCGGACCTCCATGTTGCTCTAAGATCTTTGATGCTGTGTTTATCACTCTGATGCTAATCTATGTAATAATCTAAGCTATTATTCTGAACTTCTAACTCTGATTAAGGGAAAACACAATTATTTTGCCCTACTTGGTCAAGCTCAAGTTTTGTAAATTACATTACATAGTATAATTATCTTTTAATCTATTAACTTCACCCATAAACATCAACGTATTAGCACATTCATTTAGCACTCACCTGTAGTCTGCTGTTGGGGAATCTGAGTCTGATGTGGCAAGTTCCTAGAAATGATGAACATGTTTTTTAGTAAAACTGTTTGCTTACACAGATGTAAACAAAGGGCAGACATTAGAATGAAAACCTTTATAGCAAGAAAGAAGAACCTCAGAAATAACCTATTCCAGTATTCCCCCACCCCCTGGCCATGAGTTTATGGATGAGGAAACTGAGGTCTGAGGAAGACAAATAATAATAATAATACTAAGAATATTCATGGAGTTGCTACTGCATGCTACATTCTACCTCACAATAAACCTTAAAAGGTAGGTATTATTTTCCCATTTACAGATGAAAAAACAAAAACAAAAACAGGCTTAGAGGTCCAAGACTTCATAAGTAGGAAGTGGTGGGTGAAGATGTGCACACACAGGCTCCAGGGCTTATGTCTGTAACCTATACACTTTCAGATCCAGATCTAGAACACATTTAATTACACACTCATACTCTCACAGAGCAACATATATAACCATCTTCATTCATTGTGCTAAACCTGTGCTCCTTGATCCCCACCTAGGAAGTGCTAGCTGCCATCCACTCACTGCACCAGTCAAAACGTTAAGTCAACCCTGACCTTTCCCCCTTCTTCAGTCCTCACAGCTTGTCGCTTGGGAATTCTTGACGATTCTCCTCAATTTTTTTGAACCCATCCCCTTCTTTCCCAGCTCCATTGCTACTTGGTTGAAGCTATCACCATTGATCACTGGATCTTTGCAACTGAACTGTTTCCTCAAGCCCACTGTTGCTCCCTTATAATCCACTGTACACACTACTGTCAGACGGTTTTCTAAGACACAAATCTGCGTATGTCATTCAAATCTCATACACTTCATGGTTTTCTTACGCCTACCTGCAAACTAAGTTTTGGGTTTTTTAGTGAGCCCTAGATGGCCACTAGTATATCTGGACCCCACATGGAGGCCTCCCTGACTGCCTGAGACAGAGACATCAGCATCACAGCCCACTCCCATTTCTTGCACCCTTCCAGCTCATTTGTCCTTGCAAAGTCAACTCAAAATTTGTTAGAGTGAATACGTGTGTTACTCTTAGGATTTTAAAATATCCTACAGGAATGCTAACAAAATTTTAACTAATTCTTATTTTTAATTAAAAAAAAATAGCCTCTCAAGTATTCCCTCCTCTATGCCTCCCCACTCTCCAAGCACCACCCCACATAGGCTACCATTTAGCCTGCTTTACATGCTGACTGTCATTGTATTTCCCTCACATGTTTAATTGCCCCAAAGTGCTGTAATAGTAAGAACCTCCCTGTTCTGTTTAGTACCTCAGCAATAAGCATGAAATAAATACCGTCTGAATGAATACATGCAAAAGTAAAGATACAGAGATTCACATAATACACATTTGTTTATTAACGCTCACAAATACCCATTTCAAATTTTGATATTAAAATACGTTTACAAAAATGTACAATTTAGATTCGGGGTGGAATAAATTCTAGGAGTTAGCCCTTTGCAACAGAGTCTTATCCAAGTGAGGGATTTTCAATGTATTTTTTTGTTTGTTTCTCTTCAGCAATGGAATTCCTTTTACTGAAATCCTAAGCAAAACTCTTGATGTACAAAAGAGAGAAAGGTGAGGTCGCCCCAGTTGAAACAAGGGAGCTGGGAATTTCCTATGCCCCACATGCTGGCCCCTCAGGCATTTCTAAGAAACCTCCAAGAAGCAAAGTTTGAAAACCATTGATCTAAAATCATTTCAGCCAGGCAGATATTATATTCCAAAAAACAGTACATGCTGGTTAAATAGTGTTTAAACTCTTAATCGATAGGAATGTTAATGACTCTGAGTGATTTAAAAAAAAAATCAGTTCCATTTTAATATATTGTTAAGGAAATAACAAAATCAATTCTAATTCAATTTGAGGAAGTTACTTAATAATGCATCTCAATAATTACATTCCTTTTTGCTATTACCTATCAGCCCTACTTATCCTTGTGTGGTCTCAGGGAGGTATTTTTTTCTTTTCTTTTGGTTTGTTTATTCTTTCCATTTCACACAATGTACTAGTATTTATAGTGGTTTGGATGATGAAAGTAAGAAGATTAATTTATAAAGCACAAGAGGAAATAAGTTCTAGATTTAAGGTTGAGAAAACAAACATCTTTACTACAAAAGTAGAAATGCAATTTCATTGGCATTTGGCAGGGAGGGAAACATGAGTTTTGTTTTCACTTCTCAGGTAAAACTAATTTGGGCTTTTTCTACAATAGAAACTAATGCAGCAACCTCCTTCTCCTCCCCCGCCAACCCCCCTCCGCAAACACATACACTCTTCCTCATTTCCTACCATCAGTAACTCTACCTAACCTATTCATTAAATCAATACATTTGGACAAAATAAAAATGCCAAAGAAGATAGAGAAAGCCCTTCAGAATCTGTAGATCAAGGATACCAAACTTCCAAATCAATATTTAAATGAAGTCTTTGGAACCCATTCTCTCATTGGTCGGCCCAATTTACCCTTCTGTGCAAAGAACATCATTTGAAAAACACTGATCAAAATCAATCTAGACCCTGTCATTTCTTCTCTAGCCTCCATATTTTCCTCTTGTTACACTACTAAACTTTCTGCATAGCAATGGACTTCGAGGTTTGAAGAGAAATGGTTGACTAAGAAAGTGCCATTCATACACAAACTAGCAAGAAATCTTGAGATGTATGAGAAAGCAACTGTGTGTATTACACTGGCTTGGGAATTTGAAAGTATTTGCAGTGTGAGTCCCATGAGGTTAAGTTTCAACAATGTACATGCAATGCAACTTCTACTGAAACTCAGATAAGTTATCTGAAAGTGCTCATGTGTGCAAGACGGTGCTCAACAAAAAATATTTGGGGATTCAACTTCCCCAAGGTATGCACACCAGAGCTGTTTTTGTGGTCACCCAACTTGAGACTACCTGTGAACCTGTGAGTGTTAAGTGTTAATATATCTCTGATGGGCATATTTGAAGTTTGTATTCCCTCTGAGACTTGAAGAGAGGTAAGAGCTCTGCTGCGGGAATACCTATGACAAACTCTGCTATAGTTAAGGAGCAGAGAACTCGTAAGAAAATGGAACCATTTCCGTCTTTGGTGAAAGCAGGCTCTGAAGGCAATTATACTGGAGAGTGGGGTTGGACTTCAAAGAGAATTCCTATAATCCTTCGAAGAAAGGACTTTTATTTTATAAGGGCATAAAACTATTTAAAGTAATTAAGTTATTAATGGGCTAACTGAACGATTATTATGTGTAAACTGCATTATGTAGAAAAACTTAAGGAAACTGTAATTCTCTAAATTACTACTATTAATTATTTTTTAATTTCGCTGCCATTACTTACATGCATTTAAATAGAAAATTATGTAAATTAGCCATTGCACATACTTCATTCTTTAAGAAGGTAAAGGTAGTAACTTGCAAATTAATAAATAAGTGATTTGGGGGGAGTATGCAATTATTTGTTGTTTGCACAACCGTTTTAAGGTAATTTGACATTCTTGGATATCCTGCAGAGTAATTCTATGAGTAAGGTTGATGATTATCAACCCATTATATTCCTATTTGTTTGAAGACTCAAAAGCAAAGAAAGGTTAGGTGATTTGTATAAAAGCCATATAATCTGTGCCAGAGTTGAAAGTAAATGATAATTTAGTTATGTGGGATACAAAACATTTCTCTTTTGAGTTAGCATGGAGTCATTTAACAATAAGACCTAGTAATATATTTTTGAAATTTCCCAATTATTTCAGCAAAATTGGCATTGCCCAAACCTTGCTGATTTGGACCCTATATATTTTACTAAGGGACCAGGCCATTATGGGGATTTAAAAAAAGGACACAAGGAAATTGGAATCACCACAAAAGTTAACTTTCAAAACCTAATTTTAACTAAAATCAATGCATAAAGGAGACATTCAATAATTTAATTTTCCCCCTACTTGTAGAAAGCCAAAAGTAAGCATACCATAGCTTTAAAATGATGCAGTACAAACCTATAGAAGCAAAACCCATCAAAGAGATAATCCATTTATAGCTTTCAGTATATACTCATTGACTAAAAAAAAGAATAGTTAGTGGCTCCAAAATATCCTTGGCTGGTTAGCACTTCTTGTCAACAGGAAATCATTATTTTGGTGTCATGAAGATTCTCTTCAACTGATATTAACTTTTATTGAAACCTAATTTTTTATTTATGGAATTTTATCATAAAGTTAGTTTTTACTTTTACCCAAGGAAAGACAATGGAAAAAATATTCAGATAAAAGCTAAAATAATTTGTTTCAAAATACATTTAATTAGACTTAGTTCTACTTTTATACTTGTTAATTTGCAGAAGATTAAGCACAACCTACCTCCTGTTATGAGTGGGATCCAATTACCCTGGATTAGGTATGTTTTGTGTAATGAATAAGGAAAATTTTTGTACAGTCTATTAAAAATCTTCCTAGAAAATGTCGGGCAATTCCCCCTAGTATGCATTGCATTCAATCCTGTGTAAAGATGCCTCCCACTCAGGAAAAATTGATGGACATTGATGTTGGTTTAAGAAAAGAATAATGAGGAGGCAGATTTATCCCCTGAAAGACAATGTAATAAAACATTACAACTATAAGAATAAGTTCTTTTTCAGAAAATTGATTATCTGGCATCCTCCAATCAATGCCTGCCATAAAATTGCAAAAGGAGTACAATTTCCCAGTGGTTTTCAGTTTTTCAAGGCTCAGCATTTCTCTGCCGCATCCAGGCATTGTTTTCTAATCAGCTCTCACCTCTCACCTCTCCACGCCATTCTGCTCAGGCAGCTTAAGGAGGTGTGAAAAGTCTAGAGGCTGATTAGCACAGACCCACACACAGCCCAGCACTCTAGATAAACGTCCGGGACTGCCCCTTTCACACTTTTCTTTTGCACGTGCCCCTCAGGAAGAATTAGGAGAAACTTATTCCTCTTTAAAAACTCCTCTTGGTGGAAGACCCACCCCTTCCCCACCTCCACCCCCACCAGGAGCACCAATCTTAGCTTTCCGAATCCCAAAACCTAGGTCTTTGAAGTACTCAAATCAAGGATTTTCAACTGTTTTTCCTGCTCCATCATAACACAAGTCCACAAGATTCCAAATCCCCACAAGGAGGGCCCTGAACTAATAAGAGCTCCACATATGAATTTGACCTTCAACTTGGTTTGGGACAACCAGGCTAGACTATCTCTCATCATACCTTGTAGGACTTGGAATCTGATTTTATTACTTGAAATCATTACAAAGCTTTATCTTTGAGGTTTGGCCGTCAAATGTGTAATAGATTTCTCATGTTGTTAAATCTTTGGTCAAAACCATAACCCTTAACCACAACAGTGATTTTTGGGGCGCAAAGCAAAATTTACTTTTTAAAGAATGACTTTATAATGTGACTTCCAGCAATGAATTGTAATAAATAAGGGGACTACCTATAGAGGAAAAAATTCTTTTTACTCCTAATGGTAACATTTATTCACTGAACTACAAAGATAACTGATGAAGCATAGATGCAGAAGCCCTGATTATACTAGGGGATGAGGGACGTTCTACAGAATATGTGGCTAGTGCTCCTCAAGACTGTCATGATCAATGGAAACAAGGAAGGAGTAAGACATTCTCCAGACCAGAGAAAACTAAGAACATGCCAATTATTGTATTCTAGACAGAATCCTAGAACAGAAAAAGAACTTTAGAGAAAAAAACTAGTGAAATATGGGGGTGGAGGGGAGTATGTGGGAGAGGGAGAGGGAGGGGGAGTACACCAGTGTTGGTTTCTTAGTTGTAACAAATATAATAAAATACTGTAAATGGGACATCTTTGCAACTTTTCTAGTACCTTGAAAACCATTCCAAAATAATGTTATTAAATAATAACTGCATTAGCAAAGATCATATTAAATTTACCTTACATATTCTCTATTCTGTGATATTTTAACCAGCTGTTTGCCTCCTGTAACCTGAGAAGGATAGGACCTCTGCACAAATAAGATCCCTCCTTTCTGAGCACATGTTCCATCCCCAGTTGCTTTCCACTGTCTGGTCAGTCACCTTGCCTGCAACCCGGATCAGAGAAAGAACCTTCTGACCTTCTCAGGTCAAGGACCACATATCTATCCCTGACTTGACCAAGATAGGTACATAATCCAATCTCAGTGTCATCTGCAAATAATGAAACACTTGTCACTGTCTAATTTGTGGAGAAAGAAAGAAAAAGAGAGAGAGAGAGAGAGAGAGAGAGAGAGAGAGAGAGAGAGAGAGAAAGGAAGGAAGGAAGGAAGGAAGGAAGGAAGGAAGGAAGGAAGAAAACAAAAAAGAATCCACACCCACCAAACAATAAAAAATAACTGTATAATTGATAAGAAACTTGTCAGCTCCACATTGCACACTGTTATAGAGTTCTCTATCCCTCATGGACTAACTTGTTTAAAAGACCCAAATAAGTTTTTATGCAGCATTTAAACGTTCTTGAGTCTTACCTAGAAGCCACACCCTATGCTTGAATATTTCTGGTAGTGAGTCTGAAGAATAAACACAAAATCCAGTACCTAGCCAACTTATTTATGAGGGATAGATACAGTTAATATGAATATGTGAAGATGAAACGCATGCTCTTTTAGGAAGGATTAATTTAATAAATACCAGGCAGCATAATCCACGCATATACTCAATTATCAAGTACTATAATTCTTTATCAAATATCTCATTTTAATTTTTAGAATTCGGTTAGATTCAAAGGACCAAAATATTTATATATGCGTGTACTTGGTACCAAAACAGAACTTTAGAGACAGGGCTATGCTTTTAAGGTAAGGGGTAAAAGATGAATTTGCATAAAGGACAGCTGTGATGGACCTGATACAATAAATTTCTTATTATCTGGCTTGGTTGGAAAATGAGGTCAATCACATACCCTAGTTTATAGGGAGTTACCATAGAGACCATGCTCATTTTATCCATTTCCAAGAATAAAAGAAAGATAATATACATTCAACACTAAAGCTACACGGACTGTAATTTAATTTCCCTCTGATGAGTCAGATGCACTTGATGACCTCGCAGTGTCTCAGAGTAATCATTGTGAACATCATCAATTACCTATGTACCGTACTTATACAGAAGTACTAGTTAATGGAGTGCTGCCATTAACAGAACCCTGAATAATATGAATATTTTCTGGACTTAAAAATACATATAGGTTCAAATTGCTGCAAGTTCAATAAAATAACCTATTGCATTTACAGATAAAGAGATCTGATCAACATAATGACAGTCTTCATGGAGTTATAGAGAGACCAGGAAGATCCAGTTAGTTGTAAACTAGATAGAAAATTTTATTTTGCTTGTATATAAGTAGAAACATTGCAAAATCCTAATCAAAAGAAATCAAAATCATTTTTAAGGAACTATTCTTATTCTCTGGTTGGAAAGGAATCTAAAAGAAAATAGTACAACCTTTCCCCTCCCTTAAATTTCACCAGCTTTTTACAAACATATTCAAGTTCCCCTATTCATCCCCAATAGTTCTCTATTCTAAAATTTGATAGTATTGTTATATTGTCAATAGAAGCATCTCCCAAACTGTCTTCTTTAAAGAGTTCCATCTTCTAACCTTTCCCCATGGAGTCTTAAGCATATCAAGACATTAAAGGCTCTGAGAACTCTTCTGATTTAAAAAACTAAACACAAATCTCTCCCTCAGGTGTATTTGATCATTTCGGTTTTTAGAATATATATAAACACTAGAGGCCTGTTGCACAAAAATTTGTGCACTCAAGGGGGGAATCCCTCAGCCCAGCCTGTGCCCTCTTGTAGTCTGGGACCTCGCGGGGGATAACCACCTGCTGGCTTATCCACGGGAGGCATGGATGGAGGCTCGCGCTGCCCCGGCTCGCACATGGGAGGCCCCAATGGCGGTGGGGCGGGCGGCGGCTCACACTGTCCTGCCCCGTGCTCCGGGTCGCACACGCAAAGCCCGGATGGCGGCTCATGCTGTCCCACCCCGCCTTCAATATGCAAATTTAACGGCCATCTTTGTTGGGTTAATTTGCATATTCTTCTGATTGGCTGATGGGCATAGCAAAGGTATGGTCAATTAGCATCTTTGTCTTTTATTAGTGTAGATTTTACTAGCACTCTTGGGTCAAGAATATAAGAAATGGTAGCCTTAAAGAATACTTTTCATTTTGAAAATGAGTGATAAGGCTGTCATAATTTTCCCCTTAAAAAATGCAGGAGAAGTTGTTAAATTGTACACTATCACAATATTATTAAAATTTTCTCATTAGTATCTAATCCTAGTAAAGTGGGTTCTGTGATGACTCACCAACCTACAGAGAACACAGAAATCCATCTTCTCCATTTAGTACAACCCAACTTTGAAAGACTCTACTATTTACATTCCTGATAGAATATTCATCTTTCCAAAACTCAAACTTTTAAATCACATGATTTTCCCCACTGTTAACAGGACATGAGTCTGTTGTTCATGCACACATGCAGATACACACCTTGGCCCATTCAACACTAAGTAAATGATCATAGAAGAATTCAGAAAAATACAATACTTTTAGATTTATAAAGTATTTTTGGACAAATGTATTCAGTCTGACTATCTATACCACTCATAGTAATTACTATTTAATCTTCAAGTTATCCAGTGCAGTTTATGTGGTTACAAAATAACCATCATAATGGGAAAATGTCTGCATGCAGCACCGTTCCCAGATAAATCTTTAACTAGTAAGAAGTTACTTTCATATCATATCCTAAGATTTATGTATATGTGTGGAAGGAGAACTTTTCTGTATATCCATTCCATTTACAAAAAAAAAAAAGAAGAAGAGGAAGAAGAAGAAGAAAAAGAGAAGGACCTCAAACTCAAACTTGTTACTTCCTTAGGGAAATTGAATTTAACCCTTTTTAACATATGGTTAAAAAAAGCCACGTTCTTAAAAATAAATGACAGTTTTACCTACAATTCACTTATATCAAAATTGATCTAGGCATGTCACACGGTGCTCTAAGAGCAAGGGGGTAATTTCCTCACTCATTCTATACCATACTCATCTGTCCAGGCTTTCTGACTATAGTTCTAACACAACAGAGAAGGTTTGCACTAATACGCTGTGTTTTTAGCCAAAATTGGAACTACTTGTTCCAATATACAAGCAGATCACAAAAAAAACCAATTTAGATTAAATCAGTCTGTGATAATAACATTAAAGCAATAGGTTAACAGAACCAAATAATTCTAATAATAGCGCTAAAAAATAATTTGTCATGCTTTAGGATATGCCTCACTTTTCACAATTAACTCATCTCTGAACAAACTTATGTTAGTTTATTAGCCGTGTCAATTTCTTAAATATTAAGGTAAATGTCACCTTGTTTGGATTATTCCTCTTGAAGAAAAAAGAAAGCATTCCCTGAAAGTAATTCTATTAATTTGGTTCAGCACAGTGGGGCTGGGATCTACACTATCTATGACCTTCGGTATTTTCTCTTTGTTACAAACAAACAAACAAACAAACAAATGAAAAGCTCTGGTCCTCACAGACATTAACTAGACACATTCATGCATATGAATAATCACTATGCCAAGTGGATACTTACTGCTGTGTTTGCATCAATGGCATGTTAGTGCTCTCATAGCTGTCTGCGTGGAGAGGAGGTATGATTTCCCCTGTCACGGGGTGAAACACAGGAAGCGTTGACAGGGGCCAGGCTATCTCTCTATTCTTGGACATGTCACGAAGTTCTTTGGTAGATTTCTGAATAGCACTATGATGGACCAGTTGGATGCTAGGTCAAAAAGAAATAAAACAACATATATTTAACATCAGATATTATCTCAATGGGTCATCAATTTGAAAAATTTTTTTGAATTTTTTTCTTTTACTTTTAAAAGAGGAGGACATTATTGCACTTTGGGCTTTCTACAAATTAGCTCTGAAAAACATACATTTCATATATTTTTAACATAGAAAAATTGAAGATTACATATTAATTTTTAATTAAATGTATCTTTCATTAAACTAAGCTATAAAGCACTGTGTTAATGTTACAGCCCTAAGTAACAAGCTAGCAGTCTATTTAAGGTTAAACTTATCTACAGTTAAGATTAAACTACCAGAGCTTTTATATTGTTGCTTCTGATGGGGCATTTATAAATACTCACAGAAATTTCATTTTATGGTAGGTTATTACTGTAGATTCAGGAAAACGTGTATGAAAGGTCTTTTCATCTGTTGTCTGCTTTATAGGAATGCAGATTGGGAAATCACATAATATCAATGGCAAGTTAATATTCTGAATCTGAAATATTTTAGGTTTAGTTTTTACCTAAATAATCTTAGTTTTCAAAACCTTTTTAAAAATTTTTAGTTTCTACCCCTCCTAAATACCTCTATTTAGAAAGCAGCTTTCACATTTATGAAATAAACTATGAAAGATGATGAATGGGGGGGGGGAAAGCATGACACACAGGTAAGAAGCATGATGAGCAACTGAGAAATGAAAAAAAAATGATACAGAAAATAACAGGAAAGAAGACACTTACTCTGGTGTTTGCATGTTTCTCTTTTCCCTAGAAACAAAACAAAATTTATGAATTAAATAATAGCATTGATATTTGGAACATTAAGACTATATGCTCATGGGATCTTGCATGACGTGGAAATGCTGACACTGTTACTATTAAATGCCACCAGGCAGCATTTGCCACCTGGGTCATGACGTTACTTGAATGAGTACACACACAAAGATGGGATACTGATGAGAAACATACAGAAACATGAAAAAAAAAAGGAGATTAGAATCAAGCTCTTGGAAATAAATTGTATGACATGATGAAATCAGGCTACATGTGCAAATGGAAGTTTGTTACTTGCTGCTTTGTTAATGTTTTTATCCTTGGCTTTGTTCCCTGACTTCCCAATAATCTTGGGAGATTATTTTAATTGGCACAGATGTTCTGAAAGTACTAACTATTTATGAACTGAATACTCGTTACTCAAATTATAGCCTTATTTTTCATTCATTTACTCTTTACGTTTATATATATATGGGTATATATATTTAAACATTTAGATTGTCACCCTGTTTAATAATAGAACAATTTCAAGAAGAATGTTGACCATCATTCCTGATCAAACTAAGACGATTTAGTTAAAGTGCAATTACCATGGCAATAGATTCTAAGTCTCTGATTATACAAAGGTGGTTTCTATAACCAAAATATGCAGCCTCCATTATTGTTGGCACTGTTTTTGCCAGCATGAATTTACATCTAGCCTTTATAATTTGTGAATAAAGTAATTATATCCCCTAATTTGATTTATTAGACTCCAAACTATTTTAATTCATTTTTAAAGGGATAAAGTACGATAGTTTGACTTGAACATAACTTCAATTCATTTATAAAGTGCTTTATGAATTAAATGAAACTTGGCTTTTAATGGAATCTTATATGTTGTTACCCTAGTAGGCTCTATAATTTTTTATTAGTCTTTAAAGTACTCACACGCCTTCCCGTCGGCAGCACATGATATAAGCAAGTATTAGAAAAAGGACCAATGCTACTGCCGAGGGCACAGCCAAGGTAATTAGGAAATCCGTGTAATAGTCTCTGCTTTTCAAAGAATCGGAAGGGGGTTTGTACTCTCCACCATCAGGTAAAATCCCCTCTCCGCGAATCACTTCCTGAAAGGTGGACACTTGCTTTGTTTTATCAACCTGATACAAAAGAAGACAATTACAAATCAAATTAATAGCTGCAAACATGATGAGATTTTAAGATCTAGACATACCAAACATTTTTTGACAAATATCTACAAAGCAGTCTTTTCTAATTGCATTATCACCTTGAACTTGCAATGTTTTAGGGGATCTGGGAAGAAGTAATGAATAAAAGTAAAACATTGAAGGCTTTATGTTGGCCTACTTTCCATGTCCTTCTCATTATTATACATACATACACATATATACACACATACATACATACATACATATGAGTGTATGTACTTGTGTCCTTCACACTACTATGTAATTTTCTAATTTCCTAATGACAAACCTCTAGTGCAGATGTTAACAAACCATAAGCTTGCTGATAACCAGGTATGTGGGTATGGTTTCCAGGTTAGCAAAAGAGAAAAGAAACAAAATGAGAGGCAATTTCTCAATGATTATAACCTTGATCTTTCTGGCATCCAGTTGACAGAAACAGCTTTTTGCAAAGGTAGTCTAAGGTCCATGCATCCCACCCAACGCAATCGTTTTACTAAATTCTATCCCAGAATCAAAAAATGCACATTGGCGCTCTGTTCATTTACCTTCACATCAATGGACCTGCTTTCACTGAGTCGCATTTGATTATGTCAAGGGCTTCTTTAAACCACTACAAACTAGCCATGTGAAATTTGTTACTACATTTGCTCCCCGCCCTGCCACAAAAAGGTTGGGAAGAATTATTTGTGGCATTTTTCAATATCCTCTTCCAAAAAACTCCACTTGAAGAATTTTGTTAACAATACAGGGCTTGTAAAAACTTTATTTCCTGCCAAGGAATTCATGCTTTGCCTCCTTTCAGAGTGAGAATTAAATAACTGATGAATTTCCTTTTTTAATCCTAGACAGTAGCAGGCTCATTGTCAAACTTGACCTTAGGCTTACTTTTAAAACAAAAATTTTTTTTTAATTGATTTTAGAGAGACAGAAAGGGAGAGGGATAGAGAGATAGAAATATCTATGAGAAAGAGACATGGATCAACCGCCTCTTGCATGCCCCTCACTGGAGGTGAACCCTGCAACCTGCTCATGTGCCCTTACCGAGAACAGAACCAGGGACCTCTTGGTTCATGGGTTGACATTCAACCATGCTAGACTGGCCGAGCGAGGCTTACTTTTTTGGGGGTAAAATTTAGGCTAATTTTTCATTTCTTTTATATTTCATTTATTCTGCTTATTCATTGATTCTTTCAATTAAACCTCCTGAAGTTTTCTGTGGTAAGATGTAACACAACCTTTGTATTTAAAAAGTCTTACCACAAACATTAAAAGCTTCAAAGCACGTCACTTTTAAACCTTTAGAAATTAGATAATGTTCCTAAACATAAACATTTTGCAGCACAGCACAAGGAACATGGCCCTGTTAGAGCCCGCTTTTTGTCTACTGATTCTGGCTGGAGGCATGTACTTAAATTATGAATGCAACCACTCCGTCTTCCGTACCCTTGTATGGTGAGCACCATGATTGAAATACGGGGCTTTGTAAATTCAACACTTATCTATAACACACAAACCGTACCATCCTAATAATTTTCCTTGATTTAAGCAGGCAGAGAAAGAATGTTACTTTCCTAAGACACAAGCGACATAAAAAGAAGAGGCCCTTGCCAAGCGCCACAGGTGTAAGTGCTACGACTTAAGATGTTCTCCCCTCCTGGATCCAGGAAAGTTGCCTGCACAGTGGGACCTTGACTTAACAAGTTTAATTCGTTCCAAGACCGAGCTCGTTAAGGAGCTCGTTAACTCAAATTACTCTATCAACTCAATGCAAAAAATAGGCCGAGAGACAGCTGGTATCTCAAAAAGCTCGTTAGTCGGGACACTCGTGAGTCAAGGCCCCACTGTATTTGGTTCTCTAAGACACGCAGTGACAGTTGTGTTTATGTGCCAATAACTTTGTTCAGATGTCAACTTCAAAGTCAGTCACCACTGAGCACCAAGAGTTGACAGAAGTTAAATCTAAAGGTCACTAAAGAAGCCAAACAACTTTTCCAAAGAAGCAGGATCAAAAACAATATAAATTTTATATAAGACATTCTATATCTGTATCTTACATATATATGAAACCATACCCACATTTTCCTCACTCTTTTAGTGTGCTCACTTAAGTTGTTTAGAAGGAAGTATTTATATTTATGGGGCTGTGGGTAAAATTCTAACTTTCCTCACTTGGAATTGTTTTCCTTGTCCCTTGAACTTCCCCTATAATGTGAGTTTCTAGGACACTGGATTATAGCACAATATTGCTTTCTTTTTAGATTTATTCTTGTACTCTGATCTCTCCTTCCAGACTGGGGTTGTGGCGGCATAGTTGAGACTTTCTACACATGCCACACTGACTCCATAATTTATCCTGATGTAGCAGCCACCTGCATGTCCAGGGTGAGCATTTAGACCACCTGCCAAGCTAATCCAGCCCAGCAACTAATCAAGGGTAGACTGAGAACAAAAGTGGAGATACTTTCCGAAATGGATACGTTGTCAATAAGCTTGCCAACTACTTCAAGGCAGGAGAAGGCAATTTTGGTTAACAAAGTAAACCCAGGATTTGTTCCTAAAAGCAATTCAGGTTTTAGTCAAATGTTATCTTCCTGGCGAATCACTTCTAATTACATTTGCAAAACCCAAAACAGCATTAAAACTCACCAGCGAAATTTTGCACCAGTCAATGTAAAATTGAGAACGAAATTTTTTATCACAGGTGATTACGGGCTCCATTTCTTGACTGCATCTCAATTGATTCTGTGGGTTTTCCACTTCTCGTAAACAAGAAGAGAACGGGACATCTGCACCAACCATGACATACACGCTGCAAAAATGTGAAACTCTCAGGTTATCCTTTAAGAAAATTGAAAACACTGGGGGGAAAAGCAATCTACCCTGAAAGCAGGATTTACCCCTTTGAATTGAGGGATTATCGAGAGCCATCCCAAGGTAGGGACCTGGGTTTTAAAGGCAGTGATTCATTTAGGGGTTTCCTTTCATCCTTTCCTTTATTCAACCCATATTTACAAAGTACTTTGGTGCACCAGACACTTTCAATTCTATTTTAATTTCTTTAAAAGTTTTTCATCCTTATTTTAATTCAAAATAATGATGTGTCCCTATTCTGGTTACTATGGTTGGTAGATTACTAGTCTTAAATAAATTGTTTAGAAAATAATCGAATTGCTAAAATAATAAATAATTATTAGTAATATATCTTCCCTTGAAGCATTTTAATAAGATTGTGAAATTACACCCCTGGAGGTAATGGAGCTTTAGGAAGTATTACCTATTTACCCAAGAGTCCAGTCAGCCTTTCCACTTCATGGAGCCCTACTGTTAGATCTCTCATTACATGATCTCTCAAAGTTTTATCTAAGAGAGTAATATAAGATAAAACTATTGTTTGTTAAACACAAACTAGGCATGTGAAATTTATTTTCTTGCTGTGTATCTTGGCAATTAGGGAAAACAATTCTACTTAACTGACCAATAGGTGACTCACAATAAAAGAGATATTAGCATTTAAATAATCCTAGAGCAGCTTGAGAAGATAGAAATATCATATAGGTCTTTCAAAAGAAAAGAGAAAAATAGGAAATTACTCTAAATTAAATATTAATTCTTTTCCTAGTGACAATATTACAGGTACTTATGAAGTAAACCCAGTAAAATTCAGCTGACTTCCTTGCAGAAATTGACAAACTGATCCTAAAATCCATACGGAAATTCAAGGGACCCAAAATAGCCACGCACAGAAGAAAAATCTTGAAAGAAAAAGTTGAAAGACTCACAATTACCAATTTCAAAGCAACAATTATCAAGACCATGTGGTACTAGCATAGGATAGACATGTAGATCAATGGAACAGAATTGAAGTCCAGAAATAAATCTTACATTTAGTAAACTAAAATTTGTCACAGGTGCCATGACAATTCAATGGGGGAAATAATAGTCTTTACAACATGTGATGCTGGGACAATCGGATTTCCACATGTAAAATAATGAAGTCAGACCCCTATCTCACACCATATAAAAAGTAACTCAAAATAGATTAAAGACATAAATGCAGGAACTAAAACTATTAAATTCTGGAAAGAAACAGGCATAATAAATTTTCATGACCTTGGATTAGGCAATGGTTTCTTAGATATGACACCAAAAGTTCCAGCAATAATTGAAAAAATAGATAAATTGGACTTATCAAAATTAAAAACTTTGTGCTTCAAAGGACACATTTTAAGAAAATGAAAAGGAAACCCATGAAATGGGAGAAACAATTTGCAAATCATAGATCTAATAAGGGAACTTGCACTCCCAATACATAAAGGACTTACAACTCAAATCCAATTTAAAATGGCAAAGAATCTAAATAGAAATTTCCTCAAAGAAAATATAAAAATGT